AGATTTGGTAGTTTTTCTGTCCTTATGCTCACCACACAATTAGCAAAGTCAAATTCAGTTGAAAAGAAGCAAAAGAACTCTTCCAATAACTGAACTGTTGAACAAGCAAAACAGAGTCATTATCATAAATATGTTACTTTTAAGTTTAAGTATCAAAGAACAAAGGCATCATTAGATAGGTATCATCACAAAGTTTTCTCATAAAAGATTCCTCTGGCTCCCTCACCAATATGTTATCTCTGTCAACACTGCTGGCTATTGCCAGAGTATCAATTTTCAACTGATAATAAATTTTGAAGAGCTGTAAGATAATAATTTATCATATGAAACTATCTAAGAATGAAAAAAAAAATATTATCATGTTTCATTCTGTCACTGTAAGTCCATAGTAGTTGGTCTCTCACATCAGGGCAACATATTAGTTAAAACTCCACCTAGTTAAGTTGACAAGAAGCCAGTTAACTTTGACTGGATCCAAACACTGACTACTGCACAACATCTGAATACAACTGAAATAGGCAAAAGATCAGACAAAGTTTACTTACTCAGACTTTTGGTATTCTGTGAGGGAGAAAGTTTAGTAACATCTGTGAAAAATGAACAGTTCCAGTTGTCAATAATCTCTGAATTAGGCTCTTTCATGGCACACAAATGTGGTCCCTCTCTGATCCAGGTATCAAATCTACATTGTAATGAAGGAATGACTGGTGGATGTTGCATTTGCAGGAAGTATAGCACCATCAGAGTCAATGCATAGTTTGACAGCTGCCTGCTAGCGGTTAGGGCTTTGGCTTTAGCCCAGGCTCTCACAACAAAGACCAGCTGAGTAATCCTGGGATCAAGGCACATATAGCAGTGAAGGAGCTCTGAGTTTCTTACACCGAGCCTGTCAAGAAATCATTGGCATTGTCGATATCATTGATGTGACTTTTATTTGGATAGTTTTGATTAAGGAAGTACTAATATAGGACTACTGTTGGTTACAGTGAGAGATGTTTCCTCAACAGGAGAGGAAGTCACTATTAGTGTTAAAACAGAGAAAGTCAAAGTAAAGTTTTTACAACAGATTTCATGATTATAGAAAGCAGAGGAATTGAAAACCAATTAGTAATAGTAAATGCTAGGTTCATATTGGAGAATCCTGTTGTGTATTCTTGTCTATATGTGTACCCTTTGTATACTGGTACATGCATACATGTAGCTCTTCTATCAAGAAACTCGATCATTCCCTGATGCTTTAGAACACATCATCTAGCTACATGCAGTAAGCAACACTATTATCACGGACATCAACGCAATTATCCTCCGCCATAACTTATCATCATCAACATTATCATCATCATTATTTGTTGTCTATATCTTATCAGTGCCTCAACAAAGCTTCCCAGTAGCTGTTTATGATTAAAATAAGTTTAAGAGAGGCTATAGGCTACTGTTGCATCCAAGCTTTTGCTAATCCACAGTATCATCAGATGATGGATCAGTGAAAGCTTAAATGCTTATTTTTAATGTGGCAGCAGTAGCTTAATGAATCTTTTGAAACCATAATATAATCATAATACCACCGCTATCAAAGGAAGACATGCAACAGTCACAGTACCTGTTGTTTACTGATAGGTCACACGACAATCCAGAGGGCAGATGTGTGAATTTAATGTGAGGGCATTTAGCAGTCAAGACTGGTATGATGTTTGTGCAACCGGGAGCAAAACTACGCAGGGCATCAACTACTAAAGAGTAATCAACAATAGTGTCATCAACTTTAGATGTCAGTAAACACAAATCTAAGTCACTTCCCTTCCATCCAACTCCAGTAACAGTTGAACCAAAAGGCACCACAGAGGCTCTTGGATAAACTTCACTCTACACTTCTTGTAGCTGCTGACAAACCAGTCTTCTTAATTTGATGTCTTCATCACTGAGACACAATTGCTGCATCAAAATGTTCACTTGTTCATCCACCTGACAGTGTAAATGTTAGGCCAGTTATACAGCGTGTCATGAAACTCCAAGACGTTACATTTAGTTCCCTCTTCTGGCTGTCATACAGTTATTTATCTTGTAGCTAATGGCGACTTTGAACTTCTATATATATCACTAACTGATGTACATGTATCATACACCATATAGTAAATGCCAGGACAGGTTACATTTTAATTACTCTCGAGATTTTAAAATCCTTGATCGCTCAGTAAAGCATAAAGGACAAGTACTGTTTGGTTGTATTTTTTGTGTTCCCTTACTATGTAAGTAGCCTATGAAGAACAGAAATGCACACAAACAAGTTGACCACGCACTTCTTTATTTCTTCCTCTCCCCAAGCCTTCTTGATCGTTGTTACAAAATGCATGACAGAATCCAAATTAAAGTGGTAAAGATAGAACTCATCCACTGTTTCCACATACCTTCATCAACGAATTCAGTTTGACAATGAGATCCTTTGACAAAAATTTTGCCATCTCTTTGCTTCCCAAATGCCCACAGTGGTATTGCTCAGAGTCATCATGACCACGCTTTATAGGTTTTTGCATTTTAAATTGAAAGCCAGTTTTCGTTAAAGTCCTTTCTTTCACTGTAAGGTGTTTTTTATGCAGAGGTGGTAATGACTCCAGTTGACTCAGCATTTTTGCAACACTTTCTTCACTAGAAAACTCCACTATTGCAAAAACACCCTGAAAATTATAAAAGTTAAGACAAATGAAACATTGTTTTGATTGCAAACCAATTTTCAAGCATTATGGTACACAACATCACCTTTTTGTTTTCTTTTAGTTTCACGACATTCCTGTCAATCAACTCAATTTCAACTTTCTATCAATTCAATTTCAACTTTTCGCATTCAATTTCAATTTTCTGCATTGTATGGGATAAGTTGACCACAATGCAATCATACTGAAGGTTTTGCAGGCACGTTATACTTATATGGTTGACATTTTAAGGCTTCCACTTATTTAAAACTAAAGCCAGGAGACTTTTCTAGAAGCAAACCCTTGATATGTAAAAATAATCACTTCTAAAATTTAGTTCTTTATTTTGCTCCCAGAACTAGTTAGATACATCACATTGTCTTTTATAGTTAAATGATAGAAATAGCAGGTTACTTTTGACCTATTTTTAATCTTGTTAGAAGAAAGTTGGATAAATTCAATTACATTGTGTAAATAAACAATCAAGAATCACCCAAATTGCTGTCAACATATGTACATTGATGTTGTTTTTCAAGATTTGGTAGTTTTTATCAGTCCTAGTGTTTTCAATTTGTAGCACAACACTCTGAGATTAATCTGAAATTTTGAGCTTCACAAGTAACATTTTGGTAAAATTCAGTTATTATTGATTTTCTCGAAATTAAATAAGAATATGAGCCAAATCAATTTTTTGGCTGGTGCCAGTGCCATACTTTGAAAATGTTTGATTTTTGGCCACATTTGCTCTTAATGCCTTCACCAATGAGTTTATTATATTTAAAATACCTTATCTTTATCCAAGAATATGTTTGAGACTTTTCCATATGCACTGAGGTATTTTGCTAAATCTTCTTCTATGGATCCTGAGTTTTGAAAACCTCGCACATAAATGCTATTTCTACAAGAACGTTCTCTCCCTTCTTTTAACTTCAGCATCCTTTGATGTTTTTTGCCATTGTTGTGGGTTGGGAGAAGCGAAGCTATGAAAGTAGAAAAATAAGCTGAGTAATGAAAACAAGACATGTAAGAAAAAATTTGCTTAATATTCATTATTATTACATGACTCCGGCAGTCAGAGGGGCAATAACTAAAATCAACCAATCAAAATGCTCTATTGCCGGTCAATATTCTCTCAGTATTGGACCGGACACTGTCCCAAATGGTCCCGAATGATAATGCACTTCTGTTCCTTTGAACTTCAGTCGTATAATAAATCTCTTATTAACCAAGCTTGCTCGGGACCATACTAGAAGAATATCGGCCCTCTGTCTTTTTTGTACGGACCTCCCTATGCTTGGTCCATACTGTCAAGACCTCAAGCCAATATTCTCCCAGTACAGCACTCACACTTGGTTAATAGGATATATTAAATACTGGTCCTTTTTATTCAGCATTTCTTAATATAAGGGAACGACATGAATCAAACCTGAAATATAATTAAGCTTGAGGAATTTTGCTAGTGCTGGAGATGCAGACCTGCCTACGCCTAAACTAAGGAGATCAGCTGAGCTTGGATGATAATGCAAAAATCTTCTATGTCGAATGGAATTGAAACGTAATATCACCCTTACATCTTACGTTAAGGTTACAAGAATTAAGGAAATGATCACCAGCTTAATAGCTCTTGACTGTTAAACAAATTCTCCTTGTTAGCACCTTGGGAAATGTATAGAGAACAGTATGGAGAATATGCATACTGGTGTTAAGGGTTTGTGAGATGAGCGACTCGAATTTCATGAGTTTCACTTCCAAGATAAAAGCTCCACAGCTGACGAGCAGAGAGAAGACTTGATCTAACACAGACGCTATCATAAGTGGAAATTCAAAGCCGTTTATGTGTGACTCTAACTAATAAGTTACGTAGTGAATACGTCAAAAAGTCATGCGAAATTTTCTGATGTTTTTCAGCTGGGTTTTATAACCGCACAAGACGGATGAAATCCTGTTTCCTTCAAAAAATGACATTTTAAGTTTTGAAAAGGGTTTATTCATAACAAACCACCTAAGTTACAAAATAAAAGTGCTAACGCACGTGGGCTTGGCCCCAACTAATTATTAATAAACAGTCCAAAGTTCCAAAGTTCAAGAGTTCTTAAAGATATACGAGTATTAAATATTACTAATATTAATGTGAGGTTATAAATAATTCCAAAATAGTTAGGTCTAATATTAATATAAGCTTAATCTATAATATTGGTATGGCTAGGGCTAACGTAGACTAATATTAATGTAACTCTAGGATTGTTTAATGCTAATTCTAAGTTGTAAATAATTCCAAGTTGATTTAATCAAATGTTAACTAAAGCTTAAGGTAAACTAATATTAATATAAGCTTAATCTATAATATTGGTATGGCTAGGGCTAACGTAGACTAATATTAATGTAACTCTAGGATTGTTTAATGCTAATTCTAAGTTGTAAATAATTCCAAGTTGATTTAATCAAATGTTAACTAAAGCTTAAGGTAA